AGAATGAAAGAAAGTAGATGAAAGCCCTAAAAGACAAAAGGTTTGAGTAAAATGATCAGTGTTATCTGTTCCCATTGTGTCATTTTATCACTCCCCAATCTAATAAATTTCCTGACGATTAGAGAAAAGTGCTGAACCAGACATTAACCAATATGGAAAGTGTTAAAATAATAGTGAGTGAAAAGGTAGAGGAGGAGGAGGAGGAGGAAGGGGGGTCTAGAGGAGTAATAAAATTTGGGAGGCAACATGAGGGAATACAATCCAATATTAAAGTCCTCATTAATCACTTTTCATTACTCTTACTTAAATGAGATAAAGTCTGATGACCAGCCAGAGGACAAGTATCTCACCACATCTGAAAAGTCATACAGCTCTGACAAAACTGTTGACAGAGGATCCTCATAACAGAGCAACATATAGCATGACAGACTCACTCATAATGTTAGCTGACTGATTCAATGCCAACTACTTTTTCAAGCTTTTTGCAACAACAGCTTGTGGGAAAATATGGCAAAAGCTAGCACTGGTGGAAACATTCTGGAGCTTCTTTTTTCCTCTGTAATTGGCTCTGTCGCCAGAACAGGCCAGTCGGTCTGTTGAGCAGCTCGTCAGGATCTGCATCAGGAGCTTCTTGTTTGTTTAAAAGTCATATGATGAAGATGCATTTCAAAAAAATGTAGTTTTTTTTCACTTGGCACACAGTTTTAAAAATCTGTTGTTCCTGCCTTACTGAACTCATTAGTTGAAATCAGAATGGAAGTGGAGAATGAAGCAGTGTTTGGTTTCATTCAGGAAGAACAGGTTTTGTGAACACTGATCACAATGAGCACCTACTGATGTCTGAGCCATGTGGTGGGAGGAGACAGACTGAAACCTAGGGAATGGAATCTCTAGGCATTAGAGTTGGGCATCAAACTCATACTTTTAAGAGTACTGATCGAATTACACTTGTGCTACCGGGTGCCCATTCACGTTAAATCAATCAGTGCCAAATTTCAGTACCTGAGAGCGCATCTGGGTGAGAGCACAGGGGTTGAAAGATTTTTTGGGGGCTCTTATTATTTGCAGTGCGACTGTGTCTGGTGGCTTTGTAATGCAATTAAAAACAATGTGTATTGCATGAAGATCCCTGTTCATGTATATTCATCTTTCTTTTTCCTTATCCAACAACATGTGCCTTTCTATAGAATAGACAATATGGACAATACAATATTATAAGACAAAAAGTTGGCTAACACTGCCGTGCCTTCCTGGGACATGACCTGTGGCACAAATACCAGATTTATAACAAATATCTGACCCATGTACTCAAGTAGGATTTTCTAACCTCGCCAAGACCCTGAGAGAAGTTTCTTTGGCCCAAAAATTGTTTTTCTTGTTCCAAAGTTTTTGCTGATTCTGCTTCAGTGGAGCACACTGCATGAAGCAGAGATGCCTCAAATCGACAAAGGTGAGAATGATGACGTTGGCCTTGGTTGACCAAGTGTTGTTTATACCTCTTGTGTGAACCAAGTACAAATTTAGAGATATTACTGACTTTTTTTGTAGTTTGACTTGTACGACACCTCACCCATTATCATCTGAGAATATTATTATACTATATTATAACAATCACCTCCTATAAAATGATCTTTCTGATGGGAAACAAGTAAAAATAGTTGTAGTTTGACTTTAGATAATGAGAGATCTATTGGCTTCAAGTGCTACATTTCCCTCATAGTTGCTCTTATGCTGCATGTATTTCCTTAAGTGTTATTTTGATGAAATCAGGACATCAGAAAATTTCCTTAGGCTCTTGGCAAGCCTGGTGAACCATTACCAAGTGCATCTGACAATCTGTATATACAGAGACAGTGAGTTATGTTTTTGTTCCCAAGCAGGCGTGTAGATGTCCAAACTGCACAAGGCAGTTCGGTATCAAAATGATGATATCCTGTGACACATAAATGTTCGTCGAGTATACTGCAGACTCTCTGAGGTGTTCCAGTTATTCACTATCTAAAAAAATACCACTTCTCTGTACAGAGTAGAAGTGCAGGAGAGAGTGTGTGTCAGTGTGTAACAAAGTCCTCACATCTCCCCCTGTCTCTCCCAGTTTTACACACATCAGTCAAGACTCCATTAACCATGCTGGCAAAAAAACTGCCATATCAAATTCACAAATGTGCATGGATAAATATGAATTACTGTGAAACCGGCTGATTTATTTCCAGAGAAGATGAGAGAAGCTCATACTCAGATATGACCAAAGATGTCGTCAATAGATTATAAAACAATCTGACATGAGTCACGTTTCGCGTGACAGAAGACAGCCTCACCACACACAGACATATAAATTATTTGCCCTTAAAATATCAAACCATTTGGGGAATTAACCTAAATTGTCACTCATAAGTCACGTCTAATTGTTCCAGAGAAGATGGGAGTAGCAGCATGGTGGATGTGATCCCCAGAGACCAGTGAAGGCACGAGGGAGTGAAGATGACAGATTGTGGCAGAGATCACACCCATGACAAAGTGCAGCTTAAATCTGTGTTTGTTGTCTTTATGATTGGTGACAGTGTGGCTGTTTGTTGGCCGCTGCCATTACTGGCTGACTCCACTCACAGGCTGAGAGGGCCTCCACAGCCAACAACTACATCTCATCTCAAAGTTAATCTGCATTCACTGGGATGGACCGGCCGCAGGGAGACAGAAAAGCTTTATGTGTGTATGTGTGAGTGTCTGCCTCTAACTATGCATATGTATCTGTGGAAGTGTGTGCATGTATGTGTGTGTGTGTGTGTGTGTGTGTGTGTGTGTGTGCAGTGGACTGTATATAGAGATGGATGACATGACAGCTCCCCAAAAGTGAAGCCAAAACATCTCAATCGCCCCCTGGTGGCCAGCTGTAGTATATGTCATAAACCCCACCCCTCCATGTTAGCAGATGGGACACGGGCAAAACTAAAAGATCAAAGTTCACGACAAATCGGATTCTCCCAGAGATGGTTTCTGTCATTTTAGGTAGTTACTATCACACTGATGTATGTTCAAGAGTTCATCTTTCTGGTAAGTTTGGTTTTAATAGTTAGGTGATGCTATAAAAAGTGGGTGTGATGACATGAATGACAGCTGTGTACTTGGGCAAATGGTAGAAGCAGCTTATTATGACCCATTATGTATATTATAAGGCAGCACCCTAGTTATTAGTTTAGGTGCAGAGATGGAAGTGAGGTGACGTAGTAGAAAAAGGAAAAAATTAAGCATAATGTTGTTTAAAGATTGAAGAAGCCCTGATAGAGTGGGTGGAATGGCTGGTGGATGGGTCAAACAAACACAGGACTTTCACCCAGGAGACTGACATTTGTGGCCCGAAGTCATTGTTGACTTCTTTAGTAATAACGTAGCATTGTTTGCTAGGATGCATAGCATACTACGCTAGTGATGTATGTGACGTCTGTCACATGACTAACATCGCCTAACGTTTGTGACAAAAGTACTTATTTAGAGTCAAACCACGATGTTTTTCCTAAACCTAACCACAAATTATTATAGCAGAACTCGATTCATAACATTAAGGACGTGTTTAAACTGCGACTGTTCGGACAGTACTATATGTGGAACAGGAAGTCAGTGGAAATGGACTGTTTCTGTTGTTATGGTAAGACGAAGTGTTGCAGACTCTGGCTCCAATTGATATCCCAAGTGCAAGATAACAGCGCCCATATTTGGGATATTCTGGCTTCACTTTTGTACAGTGGAAGATTGGAGATGCATCATCCATCTTTATAAACAGTCTTTGGTTTATGTCATGAGTAGGAAATGCAGTAGCTGAAAACGGAAGGTTTCCTTTGATGTGTGGGTGAAATTAAGGCTTACTGTGGGTTCTTTATTGCCTAGAAACTGGTGGTGACCAAGATGTTGCTGAGCTCCACAAGATAAAAGCACATCATAAACACACTGTTAGTGTCTTTTAGCCCTAATTATAAACTAGGGCTACTCCACAGTGGAATAAATATGAAATAAAAATATGTGCACAACTGTTAGCTTGATAACATCTCTTTTCCACACAGTTGTGTGCTGTTCAAATGTACTGGGGGCACCATGTGCATTATGCCACACATGCCACACATGTCAAATACAGTCAGGATTGTTTTCTTAACAATTTACCTGAAATAAATAACTGTTTTAAATCCTAATTGAGGCAAAGTTTGTCAGCAAACAAATCTTTTTAAGTAGAGCCATGTGACACCCTATCATAACAGCCAGTGAATTAGTGTAATTATTGCCTAGCGTCTACAGCATGACGTTGACAGTCATAATGACACAGTCCAATTTGTAAGCTTTGTGTAATTACATGCCATCACGTTAACCACACTTTATTACAACTGGTGGAAAATGTGACATAGGGTGGCTCCGAAATGACCCCTCTCATTTACAGAAACCACCAACAAACTGTCACTTGACTGTTAGCTGCCAGCAAACCACACAAAAACCTGTCCTGGTTGGCAGTCTCTCCAGCTTCCACTCAATCCCAACATGATAGCAGAATTGGCAACACTCAGTTGTTCCGGACCCCGTCATTACGAACTCGCTCAGTGAAAGAGCCATGGTCTCTTTTTGCCCCCTCAATTTCTCCCTACCTAAAAAACATCCCTTCGACCCCTCCCCTCCTCTCTTTCTTTTATTTATCACATTTTCTGCCCCACAGAAACCTTTCAGAGGAGCAGAGAATCCCATCAGTCGGTAACACAGCGTGGCCAGCGCCCACACAGGAAGCTTTTGATTTCTGCTGGAATGTCCTGAGCTTTGGAAAACAGTCAAACTCAGTGGACACAATGTTGGTGCTAAAGCACAATAGCACACCATAAAATCAATCTGGCACGCAACGCCACAGCTGAAAACTTCATTATGTTAATGAAGTGGTTACCCATGAGCTAACCGAGGCTCTCAAGGAAGTTAGAAGCAAATGATAGGAAATAAAATTGTCAACTAGACGAGAAAAATGAGTTTCTTACCGAGTTCAGGTCCAGGTTCGTCTGCACCCACTCTTTGGCATCGTTATATTCGTCCATCATTCCCATAATATACAGCGTGTCCAGAGAGTCAATGATAGAGGCTCCTCTCAGGCCACCTGCAAAACACACAAGAGAACTGATTTAGTGCCTGTTCAAAGAGAGACACATTCGTCGGGAGAAACTCCATGGGTAACACTTTATTTAAAAAATATTGGAATAAAATTAAAAAATACAGATGGTTTATAAGCTATTATAATGTAACTGTAAGCAAACTGAAGGACATTTAAAATGTTAATGAATGATATCTGTTAAAAACATTTCAGACTTCAGATTTGTCACCCAATAAATTCACATACTGTAGACAGATGTTATTTTCAGATATTTCACGAGATCACATGTAAAGACATCAATTTCACCTTTAATATAACATGTGAACACACATATTTCACATGAAATCACATTTAGGCACATGTGGTTTCTGGACAATTCATACGTCACTAGAATTAGCGCCCTGCGGTTGTATGTAGGGATGTTCCAATCCAGCTTTTTCACTTCCGATCCGATACCGATATTACAGCCTTGAGTTTTGGCCGATACCGATATCAATCCGATCCAAGCGCGTATTATACATATTCACTTATTTTGTTGTCAAGTCATGTTAGAAAAGGTTTGATCAAGCAATATTACTCTAACAAGAACAACTACTTAATCGGGTTAGTTAGAATGAGCCACAACAGTTGGTATGAGAAACTGACCTGTTTATTGTTAACAGGGTTAAATAAACAAACTTTAAATTTGAACATTAACATTAAATAAAAAATATAGCTGGTTTGCTTTGGCTGCTTTGGCCCCTTAATAAATAGAAAATAGATCAACACAAGAAATCTATAAAATGTCTAACAATGAAATTAAAATAGCAGCAAGACTCCACACACTTGTGCTTTGCTCCTCTAATAAATAAAAAAAAGATTAACACCACAAGACATTGTTGGCATTTAACAAACAATGCAGCCTTTCCTTTTCAGTTATTTTAATAGTGTTTTTGTAGTCCATCCATGGCTCCAATTTCACTAATTGTGCCCAAAACAGTGCCATCAGTGCTCTTTACTTAAACAGTAAGAGTGTAAACCAAATAAAAATATCACTCTCAAAAAACCAGAGCAGAAAACAAATAGTCAGTTAACTATCTCTTATAACTCTTCCTATCCTCCGTGTGTGTCTGCCGTCTGCATGCTGGCCTGGTGGATTGATAGTAAGAACTGGAGCGGATCACTGGTATCGACTGCTTGACTCGCGGAGCGCTGGGCTGGCTGGAAAAACTGGATCGGAGTTCTTGGATTGGCATTTTTCCATGCAGTCCGATCCGATGCCGATGCCCGTTTTTTGCTAGTATTGGCGGCGGATACCGATCCGAATATCGGATCGGGACATCCCTAGTTGTATGCCTCTGCCAACCTGTCAAGTTGCAGTTAGAGTTTATATCCACGTCTGTCCAGGCTCATATGTAGCCATGACAGCTGAGAATTCTTCAAATATGGATGTTGCCACAAAGAAGCTACATATTCTAACACACGGATGCTTCACACATATTCAATCCAGCAGCACAGAAGATCTACACAATCAGCGCAGTTTCAAGATGGACACCCAAGATTAAAGTCAACAATTTAGTATCTGACCAAATGTCTACCCTTCTGTTCCTGAGTTATGGCGATGGATAATGGCTGGAAAATTATTTTAGCAGAAAATTATGATGTCACAGTGAAGCTGACCTTTGGGATATAAAATGTCATCACTTTATCACTCTATTAGACATTTGTGTGGGTGGCACGGTGCTGCAGTGGTTAGCACTGTCACCTCACAGCAAGAGGCTTCCTGGTTCAAGTTTGCACATTCTTCCCGTGTCAGCCTGGGTTTTTTCTGGGTACTCCAGCTTCCTCCCACAGTCCAAAGACATGCAGGTTAGGTTAAGTGGTGACTCTAAATTGGCCGTAGGTGTGAATGTGAGTGTGAATGGTTGTCTGTTTCTATTTGTTAGCTCTGCGATAACCTGGCAACCTGTGCAGGATGTACCCTGCCTCTCACCCAATATCAGCTGGAATAGGCTGGACCACTTGGGAATCACTGTTACAAACCACCTATTGTTTGTAAGCTGCTTAAATATGCTAAATGGTGAAGTTTGGAACAAATGTTACTATTTTAGGGTATTTCAGGGTACACAAGGTTCATAAAAGTTAAACTTTTGAAACTGTCGATTACTTGCCAAACTGCAGCAGGCAGCCAAAGATTGTCAAGAAAACTGGGGAAACTTATCTGTGTAACTACCATAGACTAGCTGGTAACCACCTGTTTTTTCCACCCAGGTCATTTACAACACTTTTCTCCCTCTGCATGTACTCCCACCTGCTTAACATGTCTTTTAGCTGTTTCGTGAAAGCTGCAAACTGATAAAGTGCTAACAGCACGATGTATTTTGCTGTATTTGTTTGTAAGAGTTTATCACAGTAATGCTAAGCCGTAGTACTTCAATCACTAATCCCTGAGGTGGTAAAAGAACTGACCCAGATGGTGTTTTCTCTGTAGAAACTTTTGATAATGCTAAAACCAGATTTGTGTTTACATCAAATATGTCAGACTGGAGAGGTTTTATGCAGACTTATAAAAAGAATGAAAGTAGTGAATACAACAAATAGCTGACAATTCATTAGTTTCGTGACTGTTACATAAGTTCTTGGAAGGTAGATAAGTGCTCAGATTTAACCCCAAAGCTTTAATGTTCTGAAAAGTATCTTGACAGCATCTGTGATGAAAAAAACTGTAAAACATTAAAGTCCCTCACATGCTGAGCTTCTGTAATTGCTGCAGTGATGCTGAATGATAGTAATAAAACAGCTTTGCATAGCCCAGATGAAAAGCGTGTTCTCAACAAGATAAAAGCATCAAACTAAAAAGCATCAGTCACTGTACTGTAACATGAAAGTCAAGTCGTTCAGGAATCAACCACCGGGGGGAGAAAAAGAACTGATACACAATGATTATAGAAAACATTTAGCAGCTGCTCCTGGATAACACTCAGTGTATGTGTTCCCTTCATTAGCTCAGTGTGTAAAACCTGTGTGTGTGTGAGTACAGTTGCACAGTGTGCCTCAATGTCTGTCTTTATGAATCTCATTTGAGGCTATTCTTTTCTTTTCACAAACTAAATGAGAAACACTAAAGGGTGTTTATTCCAGGGTGGTGGCCTTACGAGAGATTGCATGGCCTATTTTCATTCTCATATGACCAAATATTATGCAAATGTATCTGAACCTCCCAGAGAAAATTCGGCGCTAAGGAAAAATAAACATTACCCTTAATGAATTACTGTAAAAGAGTTGAAGGGCAAATTGTGGTTTGGAAGTTTAATAACGAGAAACTGTGACTAAATAGACTGACTCAAACTGCTCGCAGGCCCACGTTGAAGATTACTGGAGAAAAAAAAAAACGTGTGGAAGCTGACCTGGTTAAATGAGAAGTGATGCAAAATCTTTATGTTCATCCCTGAGAATAACGTAATTTACAGTAGACGGCTGGATTGATCTGACGCAACCACGCAGCAACCTGGCACATCAAAGTCTCTGGTTTTTATCAGGAGTTTTTATTAAAGCTCACCAAATATGCAAATTGTAATGATACCTTTGGGCGAAAAAACTCTTTACAGATTCTGCTTTACTGCATAAAATTATGTAGAGGTTCAACTAACTTTAATCAGTTAATTGCTTAGTCTATAAAATGTCAGAAAATAGTGGGAAATGCCAACCTCAAGCTCCCAAAACGCAACGCGACATCTTCACTTTGCTTCTTTTTTTTAACCATTTGTCCAAATGCCAATGATATTTAATTCAAAACAGTGAAAAGGTAATAAAAACAGCAAATCTTGGCTAATTCCTTCGTACTTAAATGTTGTCATTATAGTCAAACGGTGCACAGCTGAACTGCAGCTTGTCTGCTGTGATTTGAACAACTCTGAATGAACAAACTTCTTTAGTGTCAGTGGGTTTGTTTAGCAAGCTTCCATGAACAACTGCACTCTTTTCAGCCTCTCAAGGCTTTTCATTCTTAATCAGCATCCACTCTACAAGCCATAGTGTATATATTATGTAGCTGCTCTTGCATTATTACCATGAGAACAATATTCTCACCACCTTTCACCTACTCTCCGTAGCCTCATGGATTAGATGATGAGGTTAACCAGGATGCCAAAGGACACGTGGGACAGGGATCAATGACTTGGCTTGACTGTAAGACGTGAGTGCCATATGTTTCAGCCATAAATCCTGTACTATTATTAGTCTCAGAGGCGAAGAAACACTGCATAAAGCTTTCTGCACCTTGCAAATCACTCATATAGCCATATTACATTACTAGAAAATAATGTCTTCTCATTAGCTTTTCTTATTTTGTTTCAGTTCTCCATACCAAGTCTATAATGCTGGCAAGGTTGGCCATGGCTTTGCCTATTCAGATTACCACACATCCGCACCCTTTGAAAGCTCATCTGCTGTAGTTTGCCTGCTGGCAGTTCACCTCATATCGTCAGCGAGAGGGCAGTGCTAGCCCGAAGCAAGACACATGTAGTCTACATAACTCTAGAGGACCATCTGCCCAGGCTGTAAGCCATGTCCTAGTACTTACTGTATGTAGTGTATGACTGTGTATCATATCAGGAAGACTTCCCACTTCATATTATCTTACAAAGTGAAGAAAAAAAAAAACACAAGCATATTTTCACATGTAACTTCAGCTTTGGCTCTGTTATAAAGGAAATGAGTTTCTTTACTGGGCAGCCTTATCTCTTTTCGATGACAAATAGTGATGGTGACAACTGAGAAGAGGAGGGTATTCAGATATCTGATGCACTCTGGTTATCCAACCCCAGAGGAAGCTCTCTGTGGCTGCAGGGAAAGCAGCCGACTGTGGAAAATTCCTATTGAAAACAGCACCAAAGCTAAGATGATTGATTGACTCTGAGGAGAGATGGAGCGGATCAATCCATCATGGTGTTCTCCTTTAGCTTCCATGGTCTAAGACCCTATTTATTTCTGTAGCCCTTTGCTACAAATGAAAGGAGCCCTGAGGG